CCGAAACACTAAACCCTAAGCCCTAAGCCCTAAACCCTAAACCGGCTTCAGGTTTCGGGCTTCGGGGCTTCAGGGGCCTAGAGTCGGTTGGCAGAAGGGTCGTCCATGCGCAAACACACAAGAAAGGTTTAGGGTTTAGGGTTTAGGGTTTAGGGTTTAGGGTTTAGGGTTTAGGGTTTAGGGTTTAGGGTAACTTAATTATTTCAGGGGCCTGAAGAATTAGAATAGGGTTCCTTTAAGGGTTGCTTTTAGAGCGGTTACTCTAAGGGATACTACAAGGGCTTAATGTAGGGGCCTTAATAATTAGAATAGGATTTGGGGTATACTATACAAATTATAATCAGGAACACCAAAAACCCTATTCTCATTATTAAGGCCCCTACATTATTTTACAGCATAAGATCCCTGGACCCGACTCAAGACCCCTCTTGCGCAAAAAGAGCCTAAACCCAGTTGTACAGGTACACCAGAACCCCACAAACCCGAAAAAAACCGAAGCTAGACCCTAAACCCTAAACCCTAAGCCCCAAACCCGGAACCCTATACCATCAAGCCTGCTCCCTGAACCCTAATCCCTGAAAGATGCCAAAAACAAAAACCCTAAAGCCCTACCCTCCCTTTTCTATAAAATCTTAAAGCCCAAAGCACGCCCCCCCAAGCCCTAAACCCTAAACCCCAAACCCCAAAACACACCTGAAACAAAAGCGCTACAACCGTTGAGGGGCTGGGCCGTCCTACAGAGCTCACTGCTCCTCGGATGAGGTTTGAAATCTTAGGGTTTTTTTAGGGTCTTAGGGTTTTAGGGTTAGTTTGGTGGTTTAGGCTTTTATTGAGGATTTTAGGGTCTTAGGGTTTTAGGGTTAGTTTTGTGGTTTAGGCTTTTATTCAGGATTTTTGGGTTTAGGGCTTCCATAGTGTCCAGGGTTTAGGGCCTCGTGCTTAGGGCTTAGTGCAGGGTTTAAGGTATTCGGGGCGTGGTGACTATTTACCCAGAGCTGAACGTTACACTGTTGAAAGTTCTTCTGGTTTGCTGTCTGGTGCTTAGTAGGGAATGGGGGAATGGGCTATAGGGACTACTGTAAGGGACTTTAAGGGACTATCATAGGGATCCATTCCCCCATTCCCTACAAAGCACCAGACAGTTTAGGTTGCTGTTTCAGGTTTGTGGCCCGCACTTGTTCATCAAGACGATGTTTGTGCAGGTATCGGGGCATGTCGGTTTTAGGGCAATCAGAGTTGGAATAGTTTCTAGGGATTCGATCTCTTCTAGCTAGAACAACATTGAGGTTCGCAAGGAATAAGTCTTTGTGATTTACTTGAGCTTCTATTCTACCTAAACCCTAAACCCTAAACCCTAAATCCTAAACCCTAAACCCTAAACCCTAAACACTAAACCCTAAACCCTAAACCCTAAACCCTAAACCCTAAACCCTAAACCTCAAACCCCAACAGCCCTGAG